GACTGTTCAAAAATTTCGGAGTACGAGGGTGGCGTTGGCAGCTGTACTCAACCAGTCGAGGCCTGCCACGTGTCTATGGACTAGGAAGAGATTCAGATGATAGCGTGACTGAAGAGACGTTTTTTGACCGAACTAATCGGTAGCTCGGTGGCATTTTATCTTGGTTGAAAGGCTAAAAGTTTTAGCCCGACAGGAAATAGGTAATCCCAATCATGCTGCGCAGATGGAATTAAGGGGCAATTGAGAGGGAAGTTTTTATGTGCACTAAGGCCGAGCTAGGCCAAGGCGCGGTAATGGGCCGTTCGGTGGGCCGCGGTAAAAAGGGCCTAGTGAAAGGACCTTGCGTTTAGCTCGGTCCAATTGTGGTTGTGGTTACCACGGATGGTATGGTAATACTTAGCTTGGTCATCGTATTCAGGACTAAGGTATTTGGGGCTTCTTGTGATGGACCTTACTCTCGTTAGCTCGGTCAAAGCTTACTGCGGTTAGCTCAGTCTCAGCGGACCAAACCGAGGTACGAGCAATGAAGAGAAGTACCGAGCTAGTTGGAGCTTGGTCATTTCTGCCGCTTAAGCATGGCTATGTTAGCTCGGTCGTTTTGTCATACTACCGAGGTAAAACCATCTCACTTGGTTTAAGCAGTGAAGGGGGTGTTGAAGGATAAGCATTATCTTTCAGGAGTGTGATTCCTAGGAGGACTCTACATAGAGGAATAGGAGTCCTACTAGGATTGGGCCACACGGAACCTATAAAAGCTCACAACATCACCTATGGAGAGGTAACACAACTTTGATTCTCGAATACACGGAGCTTTTATCTATTTGTCTATTTTGCTGACTTAGGCATCGGAGAGGTATCCGGCACACATCCGTCGGCTAGCTCACGCTTGTGTTTTCAGGGAATAAAGCGATGACGTTTGGAGGAGTGCAGACTTGGTCAACAGGATTATACATGAAGAATTATTTCGTGCTCGTATAGTAAGTAAATATAATTATGTGATATTTTGAGAATACCTAATAATTTTTCGTAGGAGGAAAAATGCCAATGACAATAACATCTGAGTTGCAGCTTCTATCCGCTTTTTCTCATGGAAATCTAAAGGCAAAGACTCGATGAAATATTTATTATTTTAAGAAATATATATCTAATATTTTTATGGAAAATTTAGGATAAAAATGATATGATAATATTATTCTTATAATTATGAATTAAGGTGACAAATATTTTGACTCTGAATGAATAACTATACTAATATGTCTTTCCCCTTGGAGTTGCTCTAAGAAAGACACACACACACACTCGTATATATATAATTACGAATTAATTTATATTTAATTATATATATTTATATATATAAGTAATGTTTATTTTCAAAAATTTTCTCTCTCTTATGTGGCATATCTCTTTACCTTTAATTATTTCTAAAATCTAATAGGTAAAAGATTTTTACTTAAACTATTCATAAATAAAATTTAAAATGTTTTACAAATTAATTTTCTTCTACTTTTTTCACTTTTACTTAAGTATTCAATTTTTATGTTAAAATTAAATATATTTCTTATTATTTTTATCTATCTTATTTATATTTTGTTATTAATTTATATTGAGTATCTTATTTAACATGAAGTTGTTTATTAGGAAAAAATTATATTTAATTTAAACTCTATACACACACCCATATATAATTATATAATATGTACAAACAGTTTTAAAATAGATAGTAATTACGCGTTTGTTTAGCGGATTAAGTTGGATGGGATCATTAATGATGAGATAGTTAGTGAAAAGATTGTTAATGTAAAGATGATTTCTTCTACAAAGTTGTTGAGAATGATGTCTAGTTCATCCAAGAATTTTTGTAACAATTATTCTAGTATATTGTAGTAGCAATTTTCTTATACGAAATTTTAATTAGATCTGAAACTGTACACAGATTTTACGATATATTGGAAAAATCATTAAAAATACTATATTAAACTAAATCTGGTATTTTCTAAATAAAAAATAAAATTACAAGTTCACATTCAACGTCGCAACATTTTTAAATACTAAAACAAGAGATAATAAAATTTTATTTTGATAAAGTCTTGACTTTAAGTTAGCCAAGGTTCAATATTAGCAACAATTCCAAATTTAGCCCCAGTCCCTTCTTCGACATAATCTAGAATGAAATGCTAGGGCAACAAAATATATGCCATGAGTTTTGCAACACAGTAAGAAAATATAACCAACCTATCATTCTTTTTAAGAGAAAAATAATGAGATTATAAACATGAGATAACAGTATAATTATAAACATAAATTACAACCATTAAAATAATTTCAATAATACTAATAAATTAGGTGACTCTCGAAATCTCACCAAAGAGATTTAACTTATCAACCACTAAGTATGGCAACGGTTAATTTGAAACCCCCTCTTGGTCAAATATTCAAGTGTTACCAACCGTAACTACCAACGATGCCCACGTCCGGAGTTATATACCTAAGTAGTGGCATCCTTGGTCTGCCCCAAGGAAATGGTCTGCCAGGGGTACTTAACCTCCCTATGTGCCACCTGCACATCTACCCTTATTCCAAAACTGAATACCAAAAATGGTTCAAATAAATCTCGTGCCATCTTAGGGTTTCGCGACACAATTTGCGTGATAATTCTCAAAATCAGGGTTCACCCTGAACAACTAGTATTAACCGTCAACCCTTAATTTCATACACTCTTTAAAACCAAGACTCATCCTGAACAACTAGTATTAACCGTCAATTGTTAACTTTGTATATGCCATTAATCATTTTAGTTAGCTTTGATATTAATCACAAATAATTCCAAATTTTAATTACAAATAATGTTATACCAACTCATTAAAATTCCAAACATAAAATATTACACATGTCGCACAATAATAAATAATTGTACAAAATTTAAATAAACAATTTATTTAAACCATGGTATGAAATAATAATTTAGATACAAAGAAAATAAACCATATAAATATGTTTAGGTCATTTTTCAGAAAGAATTTCCCAAAAATAAGTTATAAATAAACAATTGAAGAGATAGTTTTTGATTCCTCCTTAATCTGTCAAAATTTTCAGAATATATATCTTGCAATTACAATTATAAATAAATTACTTATACAACTCCAAAATTCATATAAATCTACAGAATACTCAATAAACATGTTATTGTCATTTTTCAGAAAGCATGTTCCAAAAATAAATTATAAATAATTCTTAAAAATACCAAGAGTGTTTATGACACAGATTTATCACATTTTCTTAAATTAATTCCATAGTTAAATTTATAAATCAATTCCATGATCTAAAAATTTATTATGAAACTAGACTTCTCAAATTTCATTTTTTGCTTAGAAATTATCAGATTTGGTTTAATATAAAAATTTTAATGATTTTTCAAACACATAATAAAATCTGTCTATAGCTCCAGATTTGGTTTAAAATATTTATAAATTCGTACAAAACTCAATAATTGTTGAAAAATTTTGTGGATGAACTAAACATCATTATCAACAACTTTGTAGAGAAATCATGTTCAAAATTTGAGTATAAAATTGTCTAAAAATTCGTACAACTTTCTGGCAGATTTAAAGAGCCAAATAACATCTTCAATAATCTTTTTAATGGCATAAACTACACATGCAAGTCCAAATTTGATGTACCATCACAAATTTTCACACAATTGTAAATAAAATTCTATCTACAAGTTTAGACATTTTATCATATGTATATAATCTGAAAATCTCAAATATAAAAAAAAAAATGAGAGGGTTGAGAGGATTTTCTTACTTAATAATAGAATGACAAAATGGTTGAGAATTTTGGCTTCCTTAATCTCCTACTCTTCTTCCTCTCCTATTACTAAGCTTGGTTGCTTCAGGGATTTCTCTCTTTCTTTTTTTTCACCAAATGCTTGCATGCACACCTATATACAATGAAGGCTTGCATGCATATATATATACAATGCTTGTTGAGCACATCTCTCTCTCTCTCTCTCTCTCTCTCTCTCTCTCTCTCTTCATTCTAAGTTCTTTTTCCCTCAATTCCAAGAGCATAATCAGCTCTTCTTCCCTAAACAAGCATGCAAACCAACATGTGTTAAATTTTATAAGCTTTTCCCTAAATTTTACAAGCTTTCCCTAAATTTTATGGCTATCCTAAATTCTAAAAGATGGTGGGTTTGATAGGAGCTGTGGGTTGTTAGCCCACGGTTTCTTTGTTTGTATTTTTTTTTTTTTTGTATTTGTATTTGTGTGGGTTTCTGAAAATTGATACACTAAGATTTTTAAGTAAGGTATTTAGTAAGAATAATTAACATATTGAATCCTAATTAAAATAATTTATAAACAACAAATATTGAACACCCACAAAATTATTATTCTTAATAATGTCTTTGTTAGTGATTGAATTAGGTCAATTTAAAACTAACTTTTACACTAATATACAATTTAGATAGACTGTAGATAAAATTTATTTATTTATTTATTTATTTCTTTTCTTTTAAGTATAATTAAATGTGGGGTTTTCACATGAGCACACATAATGCCTCTAAACTGAAACAACCGACACATACATTGAACTTCACATTTAATTGAATTAAAATACACAACAAAGTCCACATGCTTCATCTTGCCAGAAACTACCATCGCTTCTTCGACATTATATGTACAAATTGCTCCCTCCTCTTTGACAATCAAGGCCTAACAGTACACTAATCTCTTCAACTCTCCTTGAACTTCTTTGAATTTTGCATTGGTGTAGGCTTGCTGAAATTGCTTCTCAAAGCCATATATAGTCAAACAATCAAACAATTTGTGTCGAGACTTGAAGTCTGATTTATTCTCTTTCTCTACCTTACTTCTCAACGCATTGTCGTACTGTTCAACAAATTGTTTTAATGTAGTCTTCGGGTTGACATATCCATCAAAAAATGCATTCATGCTTTCACTTCGTTGTGTTGTTGACATGCCAGCCCAAAAAATGTCTTAAACATATACAGGAACCCATCGATGCCGCTCATGATATAGTACCTCCAACCACTCATTATCATAAAGATTGAATTTAGTAAGCATCTCTTCCCATTTTTCGTCAAATTCATCTCTTGTCAAACAATCATAAATTGCATTTTGCATAGCCAACTTTATGGGTTCATACTGAGCATATCCTTTCAAATTCTCCGGTATTTTCTTCATTACATGCCATAAGCACCATCGATGCCGGGCCTGTGGAAAGACAATTTCTATAACATTTTGCATAGCTCTGCACTGATCAGTTATGATAGTTTTTGGAGGATTATTCGACATGCAACTTAACCACGACTTGAATAGCCAAACAAATGTGTCGGTGTCTTCATTAGATAACAATCCACAACCAAGCAAAATAGACTATCCATGGTGATTGACTCCTACAAATGGAGCAAATGACATGTCATATTTGTTCGTCAGATAAGTTGTGTCAAATGAAACAACATCTCCAAATGATTCATACATAGCCCGACTCTTTGCATCAGCCCAAAACAAGTTTCTAATGCGAAACTCCTCATCAACATCAATCACATAAAAGAATTTCTCACTATGTGCTTGCATCCTCATAAAATAACTTTGAAGTGATTCGGCATCACCTTCACCAAGCCTTAATCTTCTAGCTCTATTAATGTAATTCCTTGCATCTCGCTCATCAAATGTCAATGACTCGTATCCCCCCGCTTCAACAACCATTGAATGATAGTTCCTAGACACCTCAATCCCTACTTGATCATTGATTTCTAATCTTCTCTTCACAGGAGTACGAATTTTCTTATTCATTGTAAAATGACGGGAGTCGGTGGGAATCAAATCATGATTATGCTCAAGGTTAACTGTGGTTAACATATATGTCCCATTCTTTTGTAGAGTACCCATACCCTTGCTTTGCAACCAATTTTTGTGGACAAAGATAGCTTCAAAGGGTTCACTTCTGATTTATTTTTTCTCTCCCCCGCTCGAGAACATTCAATTGCAAAGTTTTTTAATTCGCCATCATCTCCAAAATGCTATGCTCTATGAGCTAAGGAAAAGCCAACATGCTTAGCATATGTGGCATAAAATGTGTACACTTCTTCCCTTGAGCTAAAACACATACCCTTCTTAGGTTCTTCAACTTGTTTTTGAGGGGATCGGAAATCATATTCAACTTGTTCACCCTCATTTACTGAAGGATTGTCACCACCGTTTGAATCAACCTCCATTCTATGAGAATCAAAAATGAAATTCAAATAAGATGATTTTAGAATAATTATTTTATAAGATGATTGGAAACTTTGAAACTGTTATGAAACTAATAATTTTAGCTCATAATAAAATTGAAATGTCTGTATTTCTTATTAGTTTTAGCTGTTGAAATGTTTGTATCGCCACAGATGTAGAAATACAGACATTAGTTTCATACATTTCAACATTCAAATTAGTTTCATTATGAAACTAAGAAATACAGACATTAGGTCTGTATCGCCACTGTATTTCAATTATTATCAAGAAATACAGACATTAGGTCTGTATCGCCACTGTATTTCATCTTATAAAATACAGACATTAGTCTGTCTAAAATTATTATCAAGACAGACATTGTATTTCAATCATCACAGATGTTTCATAATGAATAATTGCAGGTGTTACATCACAGTTTCTTCTTGGTTTGGTTATACATCACAGTTTTTCTTCTCACATTATGAAGTTTATCAGGTGTTACATAATGAATAATTGCAAGCAACACCGAGCAAAAAAAGATAGCCCAATTTACAATCAAAATTTGCACATTTGCAACCTATGAAGGCAGTTTCCAAATGAGTTACCAAATATCATCCTATAGTGTGAAAATATGATTTTGAAAATAACTTCAAAATTCTTACGACAATTGTTATTCTGGGACTGGATGTACCTTTTTTTATATACTTCATCTTCTGCCTTTTTTTCATTTTTGTTTGTCTCCTTTTAGTACTCTATTATAACCATTTGTGGTTTCGGTCTACAAAGATTGATCAATGTATGTAGATAGAGAGAGAGAGGGAGAATGAGGGGTTTTCGAGTAACATTACCTGACAAAATGCTATCAGAATGCGATCGAAGATCCGTCGAGCGAGATACAGAGAGTTATGGCTGGAGAGCTATGGTCGACGGAGGAGAGCTATGGCGGACGCATGATAGAAGAGGGAAGAGGGAAGGGGGAAGACGGACAAGGGTGGGGAAGAAGGTGCACGATGCAATGCGACGGAGGAGAGCTATGGCGGACGCACGATGCGATCGAAGATCCGTTCCCGCTTTTTTTTTTGTCTTTGTTTTCAGTATATTTTTTTTGTCTTTCAGGTGCGTGTATCACACCTTCTTCATTGTGCAATTCTTCTTTACATGACTTCAGCAGGTGCCACCTCAGAGGGGGTCGAGGGGGTCTATTTTTGAGGGGGTCTGTATCGCCACTGATATATATTAATCTAATCATGACTATCAGGGAACATCTTTGACAAAATAAGACATAGCATGCTAGTGACCAATAACTATTATGCAATTCACTTTCCAATGAATGTGTTCCATTGTCCAAGCACTAGCAGTAAAAGTGAATTAAAACCCATAACTAAAATAAGATGCATCCTATGCAGGTGAAACAGTTAACATGATCTAAAATTACTTTCCAAATTAACAATACAATCCTTTTTATTTGATGTTCTATTATTTAATTTAATAAATCATGAAGAAAATATTTATTTATTTAAATTCTAATCATAACCTTTATAACTGTAACAGTAGCATAGCAACTCCATGGGACAAAAAAAACTATAACCAGTAGCATGCATATCATATTGATTTATAAAAAAAACACCCATGGCTTTTAAATTAAACAAAAATATAAGCAAAGCAGCGGCCAATTCCTAAAGACGATCTAGAACAATAGCTTGGCTATATACATGCAATTATTATATAAAAACAACACTGACACAGTGGGCTAGTTAGAGATAATTTATTCACACAAGCAAACCAGTGGCTACTTCTAATATGGCGGATGAATTTATTGGTTTAATTTCATGAATTCTAATATACAATTTCATGAGAAATATACCTAATTTGTTTTAAGATTGTTGTACATATTATATAATTAAACAAGATAAATAGATTCATGATTTGATAAATTAAATTAAAATACATCCAATAAATCCAGATTAGCTGCCTCACCGTGGGTGCTGGAGGAATGTCGACTTCTTTCTTCCAGGATAAGATGGTTTAGACCGGCTAACGCAAAAACACCTTCTGTTAGCTTTGGCGAACCGACAATAGCAGCACTCTCTCAACACAGGAATAAAATTATAGACACAAACAGACTGATTGTATAATTCTAGAAGACAAAAATCTCTACCAACACCAAGGGAGATGGGCCTCCTTTTATACACCATGGAGGAGAGAGGAGGAGCCTCTAGCCATGAAAGCTTGCAACCAATGCTCATGAAAGCTAGTAACCAATGCCCATGAAGGCTGGCAACTAATTGCCATTACTCGTGCAAAACTACTGGAGTAATGAATCAAAATTGATGAGAAAAAAATATATGATCTATATTTTATGTATATACAAGTGTGTATTTCTGCAACAGACTTAGCCTAAAAAAATTAGGCCGGTGGACCACCAATCCGGCCCAACCTAAACCTAACTCAAGTCTTAAGCCTAAGCCCAAGCCCAAGCCCACAATCCACCAACCCGGCCCGGTCCGGGAGATGCGCGCACGCGCGTGTGGCAATTTTGCCATAACCTACTTGGATTATAGTCTTGGCCCAAGCCCATCCTTGACGCTTCCATTCCTTCATTCTTTCAAAAAATTTGGATGCCCCAAATAGCTCATGCCCTTCTCATAATCTTGAAATTTAAATACCCATAAAAAAAATTTCCTCTACAATCAATGTGGGATTAGTAGTTATACACAATTCCTAATATCTCATACATGAGGCCATCTTTATGAGATAATTTCTCATTCAATTCTTAATAGTTTTTGGTTATTCTTCTTGTGGTGTAAAGACTTTGTTACAAAGAATTTAATCCCATATCAATTAATGGTTGGAACCTACTTTAATTTCACATTAAAGTTATTAAAAAACTATTTTTTCCAACACACTCTTTTTAAATTTACAGAAGATAAAAAAAGTCAGTTTTTAGATCTTGTCTTATATAAATTTTGTTATTTCAAATTTGTGAGACCACTACAACAAAAAGCACTTTTGGCGACTAAAACTGCATTTTTCGTCACTGAAAGTAGTAGAATTGGCAACTAAAATGGAATTAGTCGCCAAAATTGATCACTTTTGCTGACTAAAAGAGTTTAGTCGCCAAATATATGGGTTTTAGCGACTAAAAGGCAGTTTAGTGGCGGAACGTAGGGGTTTTAGCGACTAAAGGTTGTTTAGTAGCCAAAAGTCACGGTTTTTGGCGACTAAAATGATTTAGTAGCCAAAAGTGATGGTTTTGGCGACTAAAAAACAGTTTCGTCGCCGATTATAGGTGTTTTGCCGACTAAAAACTGTTTGGTCGCTGAAAGGGAAGCTTTTTGGCTACAAAAAAAAATTAGTAGCTAAAAACAGTCAATTACCGACTAAAATTCAGTTTAGTAGCCAAAAGGGGACGTCTTTGGCGACTAAAAACAGGTTTAGTCGCCAAAACTGCTTATTTTTAGGCGGAACTTAATTTTTTAGCGACTAAATAATAGTTAGTAGCCGAAAATGATAGAATTGGCGACTAAAAATTTAATTTAGTCGCCAAAAGTGGCCTAAATTTTTTTTAGTAAATAATTTATTTTTTACATAAATTGTATTGAATTAAAATAATTATATTTATATATATTGTTTTGTATTAATACCAGTCAATATACTATATAAATAATATATATTGCATATATATTCATGTGATGTTGTAGTGGCATAGTGGAGGGAGTCAACCCCTACAACTTTCTTTATCCTATTCTTTTTTCAATTTTTTCCCCCTTATTAGAGATCATCACTTAACTGTAATACCACCACCTTAAATTGTTTGATTGATAGAGACACTATTTAAAATACTACTATAGTCCCTGCAAGGAAAAAAAATGAAATGGTTTTTGTTGGGTCTCCGTTCTAGCCTTGCAACCTTGCAAGAGAAAGAACTCATGAATTTCCAATTGAGATTGTCTATGAATGGTTGAAGTAGGCATTTCAAGGCTTTTAGTCTATAATAAGGCATTATCTCATTGGTAATGTTCGAACTCCATCGGTTTTGATTCTAATTGGTGGGTTCGTCCCCATTTGTTGTCTAATTGGGGAAAAATTACAATATCTCCATAATAAAAAAAATGTGTACTTCGTGATTTTTGTTTAATGACTCCATGTATCAATCTTACTATTTAGGCATTGAATAGAGAATGATTTTGTAGTTACTATTACTGATGTTCATTTTTTAATGATTTTCTACAATATATATAGTCTATTTCTCTTCAATTGTCCCGCTCAAAACAATTATTTATCCCACAATATAGCACCTGTATTTCTTTCTTTTCTCTTTCTCTTCTTCTTTTCAACATTGCACCTGGCTTTTTAATTGTAGGATGTCAGGGTCATCAGATATTAACTCTAATAAGGAGGATTCGGTGGGAAACTATGACATAGATTCTGACCCAGGTGAAAAAGTGGAGTCGCCTGTAGAAGACTATAAGCCTGAGTCTGACCCTGAAGAAATTGCACCAAAAGAAGACTATGAGCTTGAACCCAAATCCGAAGAGATTGCACCAATGTACAACCCATTGGAGATAATTGTGATTGAGTCTGACACCGAAGAGGAATCTGTAGAAGGCAATACTGATGAGAGCACTGGAGATATAGGGGCCGTGTTTGAGAATTGGGATGTTCGAAATGGTCTGCAAATTGGCTTATTTGTATATGTTAGAATTTATCCCCTAGAAGGTTGTGCTTGGAAATTTGAGAGTTGGGTATGTGCCTACATAGGACCTGTCCAAATTTTAAGGCAAGAGACTCCCTGGTTATATCAACTAGGCCATTTCCCGGATGGTTTCACTGATAGGATGGGCTGCCTTTTTGACATTTGGAGCCTTCAGTATATCATACCCGACCCAAGCAGAATTGTGAGGAGAGATGGATCAGTGAACTTCAGGGACTGGAGGACCTATCGGGAGGAGCCGGTGCAGCTGCTAGGGCATCGTATGTGCGAAACTGCTATCTTCGTAAG